AATTTTAGGGTATAAAATTTAAGCCTCCTAGACTCCGTGGTTCCTGAGATTTAATTTACCCGTAAAAAAATTTTACGGAGCCGTACGTGTTACCCGCGGGTACGGGAAGGTTAAATTTGAATGGGCAAGGTTGAGCGTGGACAGGGGGTCACTGGCCTAAAATTTCAGCCTCCTAGACTCCGTGTTTCCTGAAATATTAATTTACCTGTAAAAAATTTCACGAGGCCGTACGTGTTCCCACGGGTACGGGAAGGCTGAATTTAAATTTGCCGCGCCACCCGTTGGCGGGGAACAATATACCAAAATTTCAGCCGCCTAGTTTTTGTGGTTCCCGAGTTGAAAGTGCGGGACAAAATGTGGGACACACACACAAACAGACACACACAGACAACCCCGTGACAATATAAGTTTTGTAACGCTGTTACCAGCACAAAACGCATAAAAAGATTGAGACGACGCAGTAGTGAAAATACACTGGCGCCACGAATTTTGCGGAAAGCGTTGAAACAGCCGGTACCTTGCCTCTCAACTCAACGACGCTGAGACGGTGGCACTTGCCGCGTTCTTCTGCTCAACACACACTGAATGGCTTGCTTAGTCCTTGTGGACGACCGTCGCATGGGCTGCTCTCTCCAACGACCCTACCGACCGAGCAGCTTCGCCACTGCTGCTGCTGCTGGATCCTATCTATTCGAGGGTGTCGGAACATTCCCTGCTATTTGAGTTTTCTGAGTCTCACGTTGTCAGGGGACATACCCAAAAATTTCAGCTTTCTAACTTCCACGGTTCCCGAGATACTGATTTTACGCGCACAAACTTTTACGGGGTCGTACGTGTTACCTGCGGGTACGGGAAGGCTGAATTTAAAGATGCCGCGTCGCTGCTAGTTTCCTCGGATTACCAAGGCTCGACGCTGCTCCCAAAAATCAATCGTTGCCCGATCGTGTGCTTTTTGATGCTTCATCGGTTTTGCCCTGTGCGTCTAATAAAAAACCTATCTGTCCTCAGCGTGCCACATTATTAATCGCGTTACGTCGTTGAACTATTAATTCAGTTGAACTTTCCGTTGGCATATACTCTCTAAGTACCAACTTCAGCATTCCATTTGTTCTCGCATATTCCGATCTAACTGCGCTAAAGTGCTGCATTTGAACGAGTTATCCGTGTATTTCAAGGATTATCAAACCAAAGTAATTCAGCCCTTGCAATTATTTCGTTGTTCGCCACATTCCCATCCTTTGAACTAAATTTGAAACTGAATTTCACCACACTCCTCTACCCGAAACTGAACCACCCTCTGAAACTTCTAGTGAAATTGAACCCAAACTTCCGCCTATAACCCGAATACCACGATTATTGCAACTCTTTCTCAAGCCCAGCCAAGGCAAGCGTAATTTCACTAGTTAGTCAAACTCGAAAGATACCTAGCTTGGTGAAATTTCTTTTTTTTTTTTTGGAAGCTTATCTTTCCTATGTTTTAATAGGAAAAGAGAAAAATCAATGACTTCTCACCACAAAATACAAGAGGGTTGAAACTCTCAATCTCGCCGAATTTCTCTTTTAATAATCTTTATCGAAGCAATTTAAATACAACAAACTTTCATTCCCCTTTATTCGGCTCCCAACAAGTAGCTCGAAAACTCACCGCAACCTTTGAAACTCCACAACAACTGACGAACAACTCGATACTCCTCAACAGACTCCTCGATGGATCCACCACAATAACAACTGATTGACCCCATGAACAGATCGTTCTCCTCCACAACAACAACTGACCCAACTGACTAACCCAAAAAAGGAGAGGAGCGAGGTCTTTTATACTAAGAATTTAGTTCCCATCTTTAACTCGAAATAACGGCGTAGTTGGCGGGAGGTCAACCCACAGCAATTTCGATAACAGCTAAGCAAGGGGATTTACAACCTTGGCATAGTAAAGTTACAATCATAAAGAACCATAACGAACTGAAATATAATAAAATATCACTGATTATTTACAATTGCTGCATTTCTTTTGCATCTTATTTTGAACTTGTCCTTTTTCATATACCCTCTTTTTTTATGCGTTTTTTGCAGCAATGCAATGCGAAAAACGCATATGGACGAGAGGCTGTCTGTGTTTGTGTCTGTGTGTCTGTGTGTCCGTGTGTGAGTCTGTCACGGTTTTTCATCTCAAGACCTACAAAAGCTACGGGGCTGAAA